GTCAGACTTTATTTTTTTTGGCTCCAAAATCACTGCAGATGGTGACTGCAGCCATGAAATTAAAAGACACTTACTCCTTGGAAGGAAAGTTATGACCAACCTAGACAGCATATTGAAAAGCAGAGACATTACTTTGCCAACAAAGGTCCGTCTGGTCAAGGCTATGGTTTTTCCAATGGTCATGTATGGATGTGAGAGTTGGACTGTGAAGAAAGCTGAGTGCCAAAAAATTGATGCTTTTGAACTGTGGTGTTGGAGAAGACTCTTGAGAGTCCGTTGGACTGCAAGGAGATCCAACTAGTCCATCCTGAAGGAGATCAGTCCTGGGTGTTCATTGGAAGGACTGATGTTGAAGCTGAAACTCCAATACTTTGGCCACCTCATGCGAAGAGTTGACTCATTGGAAAAGACCCCGATGCTTGGAGGGATTGGGGACAGGAGGAGAAGGGGCCGACAGAGGATGAGATGGCTGGATGGCATCACCGACTCGATGGGCATGAGTTTGAGTAAACTCTGGGAATTTGTGATGGACAGGGAGGCTTGGCATGCTGCGATTCATGGGGTCACAAAGAGTCAGACACGACTGAGTGACTGAACTGAAACTGAACTGAATGGTCTAGTGGTTTCCCCTACTTTCTTCAATTTAAGTCTGAATTTGGCAATAAGGTGTATATGATCTGAGCCACAGTCAGTTCCCAGTCTTATTTTTGCTGACTGTATAGAACTTCTCCATCTTTGGCTGCAAAGAATATAATCAATCTGATTTCGGTGTTGGCCATCTGGTGATGTCCATGTGTAGTCTCTCTTGCGTTGTTCGAAGAGGGTGTTTGGTTTGCTATGACCAGTGCATTCTCTTGGCAAACTGTTAGCCTTTGCCCTGCTTCATTCTGTACTCCAAGGGCCAAACTTGCCTGTTTTACTCCAGGTGTCTCTGATTTCCTACTTTTGCATTCCAGTCCCCTGTGATGAAAAGGACATCTGTTTTGGGTGTTAGTTCTAGAAGGTCTTGTAGATCTTCATAGAGCTGTTCAACTTCAGCTTCTTCAGCATTACTGGTCAGGGCATAGACTTGGATTACTGTGATACTGAATGGTTTGCCTTGGAAATGAACAGAGATCATTCTGTCATTTTTGAGATTGCACCCAAGTACTGCATTTCAGACTCTTTTGTTAACTATGAGGGCTACTCCATTTCTTCTAAGGAATTATTGCTCACAGTAGTAGATATGATGGTCATCTGAATTTAATTCACCCATTCCAGTCCATTTTAGTTCACTGATTCCTAAAATGTCGACGTTAACCCTTGCTATCTCCTGTATGACCACTTCCAATTTGCCTTGATTTATGGACCTACCATTCCAGGTTCCTATGCAATATTGCTCTTTACAGCATCAGACTTTATTTCTATCACCAGTCACACCCACAATTGGCTTTTGTTTTTGCTTTGGCTCCATCTCTCCATTCTTTCTGGAGTTATTTCTCTGCTGATCTCCAGTAGCATATTGGGCACCTACAGACCTGGGGAGTTCATCTTTCAGTGCCCTAACTTTTTGCCTTTTCATACTGTTCATGGGGTTCTCAAGGCAACAATACTGAAGTGGTTTGCCATTCCCTTCTCCAGCGGATCACGTTTTGTCAGAACTCTCCACCATGACCTGTCCGTTTTGGGTGGCCCTACATGGCATGGCTCATAGTTTCATTGAGTTAGACAAGGCTCTGGTCCATGTGATCAGATTGATTAGTTTTCTGTGATGTGGTTTTCAGTCTGTCTGCCCTCTGATGGAGTAGGATAAGATGCTTATGGAAGCTTTTGATGGGAGAGACTGACTGAGGGAGAAACTGGGTCCTGTTCTGATGGACGGGGCTGTGCTCAGTAAATCTTTAATCCAATTTTCTGTTGATGGGTGGGGCTGTGTTCCCTCCCTGTTGTTTGACCTGAGGCCAAACTATGGTGGAGGTAATGAAGATAACGGGGACCTCCTTCAAAAGGTCCCATGCATGCACTGCTACACTCAGTGCCCCCAACCCTGCAGGGGACCAAAGCTGACCCATGTCTTCTCCAGAGATTCCTGGACCCTCTCAGGCAAGTCTGGGTCAGTCTCTTGTGGGGTCACTGCTCCTTTCTCCTGGGTCCTGGTGGCATTATAGATTAGCTATTAAATAAATAGAAAATTGGTTGTTAAGGATCCAAATAATTGACCTGGACCCACTTCCCCACTGGGAGCCCCAGTCACTACTGGTATTTCTTCATCTCCTAATACTTCCAGCTGTCTCAGTGTTACCATAGCGCAAGAGCCTGACTTTGGTGTGGCCTCCACTGCTCCCAAAAGTGTGGAAGACACAACGGCTCTGGTGTTCAGGAATCACCCTACCAGACTCATGGAGGATATGGCTCTTCCATCACTATCAGTTCAAACAAAGCATCAAGTACCACATAACAGTGCTAGAGACTGGCTTCCCCATTGGGTTGGTATAACAACCCAGAAGTGACTTAACTTCCAGTGGAGTAAACTTCAACCATGAAGAGGAAGGAGAAAAGAGGAGCCAGCGGATAAACTGTTACCCCTTCCTCTTCCTCCTCTCTCTGACTGACAGTTCTGAGATGTGGTGTCTCCCCAGAACTTGCTGGGACAATGTCCTGGGTGACCAAGGCTGGATTTCCTTGGGAAGCCGTGACCAGCTTGGTAACATATCAAGCTTGTATTTGCTTTCTTTTCTCCCACACCTAACTTCTCTTTCCCTTAATTATTGCAGCCCTAGGATTGCCCCTCTCCGTACCTCAGCATGTAGGTGGTACCTCAGGTTCTGTTTTTCAGAAAACCTAGGGTAAGATGACTGTATATACAGAAGAGAAAGAAAGAGAGAGAAGGGAAAGATGAAAGGTCCCTATCCCCACACCACACCGAAAACCATATCTAAGTAAAACAAGCACAACTATGAAAAAATAAAGCTTCAAAACATTTTGAAGAGTATGTAAGCAGAATCTTTCAGGTAAGTATTTCCTAAACCTCAAAAGCATAAACCATGACAGAAAAGACTATTAAATGTGATTACCTCTATCTTAAAAATATTTATGCAACAAAATATGACATGAACAAAGATAAATTACGAGCTGCAATCTGAAAAAGACATTTGCAATTCATTTAAGTGACAGAGATAGGTATCTAGAATTTAACAAACTTCTGCAGATCAGGAATAAAAGATTAATAATGGAGGAATGGGCAAAGGAGAGAAGCAAGCAATTATGAGAAGAGGACATCTAGATTTCCAACAAATGTATGAAAAGATAATTCATCTCATTATAGATAAGCCAAATCCAAATAAAACCACCTGGGATACCATTCCACACTCACCTAAATGGGAAAAGACTGATTGCATGAGTGTTGGCTGCAGGGCAATGAGCGCACTCGCTGCTAGTGAAAGCATAAATCGTTACAACCACATTAAAAAATAATTTGACGATATGCTTGTGAAGATGTGCATGCCCTTTGACCCCAAAATTCCATTTCTTTTTTAATAGATTTTTTAAAATATTTATTTATTCATTTTATTTGGTTGCGCTAGGTCTTAGTTGCAGCATGTGAGATCTTTAGTTGCACCATGCAGGATCTTTTAAGTTGCAGCATGTGGAATCTAGTTTCCTGACCAGGGATGGAACCTGAGGCCCCTGCACTGGGAGTGTGGAGTCTTAGCCACTAGACACCAGGAAAGTCCCCCACATTCCATTTCTTATTATATTTGCTAAGGAAACTTTCATATATATATATATACAAGGAGATGTATGAAGGAATGATCAGTGCAGTTTTTTTAATTGGGGGGAAAAAATGGAAATAACCCAAATAGTCAACCAGAGAGAAAATAAATACGTTTTGGAATATTTGCAAAATAGAATACAATGCAGCAGTTCAAATGAGTAAACTAGAGCTACAAATAGCAACAAGGATAAATCTCAAACACATATGAGAGAAAAATACAGTATGATACAATTTACACATAGATTCAAAACACGTAAAACAAAGCTATATAAATATATCTATTTATTGGTACATGTATGTACTAAGTATAAAAACACATAAAGGAAAGCTAAACAGTGAATTCAGGATGATTGTTACAGATGGGGAGAGTAAAATAGAAATAAAATCAATGTGGAGTGTGCAGAAGGTTCCAGTTCTATCTGTAATATTGATTCCTTTTTGAAAAATCTGAACCAAGTACAGCAAAATGGTAACATTCATACAGTTGAGTGTGGGAACAGGTGTCCTTTCTATTTTCCTTCTGTATTTGCATCATTTCATTAAATTGTTTTTAAACTTAGTGGAATGCTTTGAAAAGATTCAATAGAGACTGTGTTAGTAAAAAAACAAAAGCTACCATTGAAATAAGTGTGGGCAAAACAATTGTAAGAAGTTGGGTAAATAATTCTAAGTAATTTAAAGTCCTGTACACAGATTTCTTTCCCAGGTGTGTTTAAGTTCTTGCTCCACTTTAAAGAAAGCCAAACTTAAGTCATAAAAATGCATGTTGTGAATGTTGTATGTTCAAGAAAGTTAATGCAGGGATTCAATCCTCCTTCTCAACGTTGCTTTACATTATAACATTGGTGAATAAATGTACAAATACGCTTGAAGTCAAAAACATTTAATGTAAATATAGATCACATTTTGTGATTTCTGACTTTAACTGAATTATTCCATTTCCAGTCCTAATTCCTATTGGATAAGATTCCTACTGCAAAGGAAAAAAAGAGAGATTTCTTTTCTTTTCTTTTCTTTTTTAGTTTTTTCTCTTTACAGGTTTATTCAACACAAAACAACCTCTTACAACTTTACTGAGATGGCTGACCACGTCCACGACCAAATCCGCCTCTAAACTGGAATTCAGTTGCTGACCCAGCCCCAGCCTCGGCTTTCTTGTCTGCACCAGGGGGCACGGCACTTGGTCTGTAGGTGTCTCTGTCGGCTTCCCCTCACGTGAGTCTTGCAGGTTGCTCTCCCTCCAGACCTTTGGGCCGTGGCCGGCCAGTCTCAGGACGGCTGCAGCGCAGGGTGGCGGACACAGTCTCAGGGGGCAGGTGGAGGTAATCGCGGAGATCCTGGATGCCCTCGTTGGTGAGGTACCAGTAGAAGTGTCTCCAGGCAAACTGTTCCTTCACGTAGCCTCGTGACTTGAGAGACTGCATGGTTTTTATTACATGAAGATTGGGCACATTCTTGTCTGCCAGCTCCGGGTGCTTGGGCATGTGGACATCCTTCTTGGCCACCATCACCCCCTCCTTAAAAAGGAGTTCATAAATGGCAATCCGGTTCTTTTTGGGCATCAACATCGCGACTGCTGCTGGGTCCGGGGCCGGCGCTGGAAAGGGAAAAAGAGAGATTTCTACTGCAGTCATTCCAGATCTATTTGTTGCTGCTGTTCAGTCACTCAGTCATGTGCGATTCTTTGCAACCCCGTGGACTGCAGAATGCCAGGCTTCCCTGTCCTTCCATGTCCCAGAGCTTGCTCAAACTCATGTGCATTGAGTTGGTGATGCCATCCAATCATCTCGTCCTCTGTTGTCCACTTCTCCTCTTGCCTTCAATCTTTCCCAAATCTATTAACACATGTTAAAGGCCTGCAGGCTATGTATCGACTAGGTGCAGATAGTTCCCCGAAGGACTGAGTGAACCAAAGAAGTGGGACGCAAACATCTTGAGCAGAGGATAAAATGGGAACTCAGCAAAACATGGGCAGGAAATGGAGCATGGATTTCTCCTACCATTTGTAGTAGGAGGGGAGGGAAAGGTTGGAAAGATAGTTTATGGTAATACTTAAGAAAGTGTTTTGTCTGAATCTCAACTTTAACATACTATAGTTTCCGAATTGAGAACATTTTATTCATTGTTGTGTCAGAAAGTAGTCATCTCCAGTTTTCAAAACATTCTGATAAGTTTACACTTGTCTTTTCTAAGAATAATGAATTAAGTGGGATCAGAGTTCTCTCTCTAATCTGCTATAATCATTGGTAAATTGTCATATTTCTTTTTAAAAGAATTTTTATTGACACAAAAAATTCATGCACCTTCTGCACACTCCACATCGATTTTATTTCTATTTCACTCTCCCCATCTGTAACAATCATCCTGAATTCATTGTTTAGCTTTCCTTTATGTGTTTTTATACTTAGTACAAAATAAAGACATTACAAATTAGGCCATGGTTGCCTTCAACCATACTGCAATCCCAGTCCTGTTTCCCGCACATAACCAAAGTTAAGACTGATAACTCTTGGAGCTAGAGTGTCCAAGTTTGAATCTGGATTTTGCAACTTATTCATGACTCTGGACAAGTTATTTAACCTCACTTCATCTTATAGAGTTGTTGAAGGCTTGAATGTGTTAAATGTTACAAAGGGCTTAGAGCAATTTCTTTACTAGAAAACCCTCAATATCATGTTAATTTAAGCAACCATTGGCTATTATTTTCAGTTCAATAGTATCAGACTTTCTCTTATGTTTTAAATAAGATAAACCTGCAGGTAACACTGTTTTATGTGAGTTTGTTTTTACTAAACATCCCTGGTAGCTCAGTTGGTAAAGAATTTGCCTGCAATATGGGAGACCCAGGTTCAATCCCTGGGTTGGGAAGATCCCCTAGAGAAGGGAAAGGCTACCCACTCCAGTATTCTAGCCTGGAGAATTCCATGGGCAGAGGAGCTTGGCAGGCTACAGTCCATGAGGTTGGAAAGAGTCTGATTGACAGGACTGATTGACTTTCACTTTCATCATATCAAACACTGTTCCCTAGCTTTGTTTTGTCATTCAGTTATAAATCCTGGAGGTCATTCTCTATACATAGAAATCAACCTTTTCTTTTAAATTTTGCATAGCCAATCTACTTCTGATAGACTTCAGATTGTTCCCAGTTTGTCCTATGAAGGCAATGCTACAGTAAACTCCTTTATACAAGTGTTAACACTTGGGTAAATGCTTTACTCTGGTAGATACCTAGAGGCGTGTGTGCGTGCTTAGTCATTCAGTCATGTCTGACACTTTGTGACCCTATGGACTGCAGCTGACCAGGCTCCTTTGTCCATGGGATTCTCCAGGCAAGAATACTGGAGTGGGTTGCCATGCTCTCCTCCAGGGGATATTCCCAACCCAGGGATCAATCCGGGTCTCCCACATTGCAGGCAGATTCTTTACCATCTCAGCCACCAGGGAAGCCCTAGAGGACACACATTTAAAATTTCAGTCTATGCTGCCAGTTTGCCTTCCAAAGAAGCTGCACCAATTTATATTCCTACCTGCAGTCTTTTTGAAAATTACCTGTGACCTCTGTGAAAGTCTTTCATATTCTTCCTAACAGTTTTAATAATCTTTTAAATTCCTCAGTCTGATGGGTGATATTTTTATTTATTTACTTTTGGCCATGCCATGTAGCTTATTTTAGTTCCCCAACCAGCAATTGAACCCGGAACTTCGGCAGTGAGAGTGCAGTGTCCTAACCACTGGACCACCAAGAAAGTCCAAAAAATTTTTACTTTAAATTTAATTTCCCTGATTCCTAGGAGAGTTGCTCAAATGTATATTTTAGTATGTATATTGGCCACTTGTGTTTTCCCATTTGTAAATTGTTGGTATCCTATTTTCTTTACCTTTTAAAATTAATAACAGCAGTTTTTAATGCATTATTTATCTTAATTCTCAGATACTTAAAACTATTTTCTCTTGGTCTGTTATATATCTTAAGCTTTAGATATCATAAAGGTATTTATTGTTTTAAAGTTTTTATTACTGACATAGTCAAATGTATCACTTTTATACATTTTTTTTCTCTTTGAATCTTCTTCTGTAAGATTTTCCTTACTCCTAAGGCCATAAACATTTTTCTACAATTTTTTTTCCTAATAAATTCATGACTTAAAAAAAAATAACATTCTTTTTTTTTAAATTTATTTTTTGGTGGCACCTCATGGCATATGGGATCTTAATTCCCAGACCAGGAGTCAAACCTGTACACCCTGCAGTGGAAGTGCAGAATCTTAACCACTGGATCACCAGGGAAGTCTCTCTTAGCATTTTTTATGTTTAGGTTTTTAACTGATCAGAAATGTATATTTTTAGTGGTATTGGTAAGACTCCAACTTGGCTCTTCTATAAAAGGATTTTCAATCATCTCCAACAACATTTTTTGGGTATCAGCTTTGTTGAGAGATAATCCACATCTTTATTGAGAGACAATTCACATTTAAAAAGTACAATTCAATGTTTTTTTAGTATATTCACAGAGTAGCACAATCATCACTATAATAATAATAAATAATAATCCATAATATTTTAATTATTATATATTGTATAGTATAATGTATAATATGTTCTATATTATAATATATTATATAACAATATCATATAAAATATTGTATTTTATTAAATATCACAAATTTTGGAACATTTTTATCACCCCCAAAAGACACCTCGTAACCCTTTTTACCCCAACTCTTCCTGCAGCCTGAAACAATCATTAATCTACTTTCTGTCACTATAGATTTGCCTGTTCTGGACAATTCATATAAATGGCATCACACAACATGTGGTCCTATGTAATTGGCTCCTTTCACTTCGCATGATGTTTCAATGATTATCCAGGTTGTAGCATGTATCTGTGTTTTATTCCTTTTTATTATCAAATAATATGCCACTGTATGGCTATACTGCATTTTATTTATGCATGCATTAGCTGATGGACATTTCAGTTGTTTCTATTTTGGGGTGATTATGAATAGTGCTATGATGAACATTGTAGCACCCAAGCAATCACTGATCTGGTTCCTGTCACTGTAGTTTGGTATTTCCTTTTTTAGAATTTTATGTAATGAAATCATATAGTATGTATGCTTTTGTGTCTGGCTTTTTTCACTGAGCATATTGTTTTTATGATTCACTCATATTACTGCACCTGTTATTTAGTTCCTAGTAGCTCTCATGCTTTTTTGCTGAATAGCTTTCCATTGTGTAGATACAGACCCCAAATTTTAAATTCTCATGAAATCTAATTTACCAATTTTTTACAAAGTTTATGCTTTTTGGATCTGATTCAAAATGTGCCTTTAAATTTTATTCACTGGGGAATCTTTCCTCTCTGTTCCAATAAATCTTGGGCATACACATGACTCTTAGTTAAGAAAAGTTCTCATGGTCATGACAGTCCAGGTATTAGAATGCCCAATTCTAAATGCTGATCAAATTGTCAAGCTTTCTTTAAAGTAAAAACTCCTCTCCTTCCTTAACTTGGACCTTCTGTATGAATATTTATAGCAGGAATGGAAGGAGGTAGGGCCATGGTTATATTCTCATTTTCTGCCTAGAGTATCTATCTCCTTCTCTTCCAGCTGGCTCTCTCAGGTTTGGGAGAGAAACCAAATAAATAGTATTTAAATACTTAAACAGTTTCAAGCTCTCTGGGATTGGAAAATATTCAAAGCTGACTCTTTCTCTCCTGAAGTAGCTTTGAGGATTCTGCAAAGGCCCTCAGTAGGAACATTTCTGTTGTTCCTACCACAATGCAGGTGACATGATTTCCCTTCCATTGACTGCTCCCCACCTCCGCATTTGCTTTTTGGTGGTCCACTCTACAGTGGGTCTTTCTGTGGGGGTCCCATGGCTCCTTCAGACAATTCTCTTGGGCAGGATTTAAACCAGTTCTCCCTCCATGCTGGCCACTTGATTCATTTCCCCTTCACCTTGGTGACAGAATCACCTAGCCAGGCCATCTCTGCCTCTTACACATTCCAGGCATGAGTCAGAGACTGGTCAACTACCTGAAGGAGTTACATCAAGGCATCCAGATGGTCCCAGTGAAATAGCTCTCTCATGATTTGAGAACAGGAATGAACGCCCTACCCCTACTCACTGAGAGAGGGGAGGAGAGAAATAGCATAGCTCTCTTCAGAAAAGTCCTCTTTAAAAGTCTTGCACCAACAGCCTTTACACCTTGAGGGTGAAGGAGTTGGAAACTATGAAACTGGTTTTTGACTCTACTCTGAAATTCTTACACAATAGTATACTGACAACAGTGTTATTTAATATCTACTGCCTCAGGGTTTCTGGCTGAAACTTCTCATTTAAAATCCTTTTACACTTGCATTTGTTGGATGTGATGTATTTTTTTTTTTTACTATCTTAATGGATTAAATTTGCCAGTGTTATAAGGTTATGGAATCCATATTCATAAATGAAATTGACCTATGATAGTGTATTAACCTGGAGTCATCTGCTGCTGCTGCTAAGTCACTTCAGTCATATCCGACTCTGTGAGACCCCATAGACGTCAGCCCACCAGCCTCCC